GGGGATTTTTTTGTAAAAAATACAGAAAAAAATGATTTTTTGTCAAATTCAACACTTTCACATTTTTTGAGCGTGTGGCATTGTTCAAAACTATTGCAACAATAAAATAATGAAAAGAAACATTGCTAATCAACCCTATAAATATTTTATTGGCTCATCTGCTTGAAGGGCTACTGAGCTTATGCCATGGCGCGTCGTCCGTCGTTGTCCGTCAATTTTTCCTTTTAATGACTTCTTCTGAAGAATGGACAGGCCTAGAGTCATGATATTTGGGTGGTAGCTTCGTTGGTAGGAGCCTGACAAAGTTTGAGAATGAAATGACCTTGACCAACTTTCAAGGTCACAGGGGTCAAATATGTCAAAAACTTCAAATGACTTCTTCTTTAGAACGAAAAGGTATAGAACCTTCATATTTGGCTGTTGGCTTCATCAGATAGAGCCGAACTAAGTTTGTAAATGTAAGTTACTTTGACCTACTTTCAAGGTCACAGGGGTCAAATGTGTCAAACTCTTCAAACGACTTCTTCTGAAGAACTAAAAGGGATAGAATCTTCATATTTGGCTGATGGCTTCCTGGGATGGAGCCCAACAAAGTTTGAAAATGAAAATGACCTTGACGTATTTTCAAGGTCACAGCGGTCAAATTTGTCAAACGATTCAAACGACTTCTCCTGATGAACTAAAAGGTATAGAATCTTCATATTTGGCTGGTGGCTTTCTGGGATGGAGCCCAACAAAGTTTAAAAATGAAAATGACCTTGACGTACTTTCAAAGTCACAGCGGTCAAATATGTAAAACACTTCAAACGACTTCTTCTGAAGAATTAAAAGGTATAGAATCTTCATATTTCGCTGGTGGCTTCCTTGGATGTCCTGATAAAGTTTGAGAATGTAATTGACCTTGACTTACTTTCAAGGTCACAGTGGTCAAATATGTAAAAACTCTTTAAACAACTTCTTCTGAAGAACTAAAAGGTATAGAATCTTTATATTTGGCTGTTGGCTTCCTGAGATAGAACCAGACAAAGTTTGAGAAAGAAAATGACCTTGACATACTTTCAAGGTCACAGCAGTCAAATATGTCGAACACTTCAAACAACTTCTGAGAAACCAAAAGGTATAGAATCTTTATATTTGGCTGGTGGCTTCCTGGGATAGAGCCCAACAAAGTTTGAGAATGAAAATTAGTTTGACCTTCTTTCAAGGTCACAGGGGTCAAATATGTCAAATGCTTCAAACAACTTCTTCTGAAGAACTGAAACGTATAGAATCTTTATATTTGGCTGGTGGCTTTCTGGGATAGAGGCCGACAATGTTTGAAAACGAAAATGACCTTGACTAACTTTCAAGGTCACAGGGGTCGGGTATGTCTAATAATTAAAACGACTTCTTCTGAAGAACTGAAAGTTATAGAACCTAAATATTTGGCTTGTAGCTTTCTGGGAAGGAGCCCAACAAAATTTGCGAATGAAAATGACCTTGACCTTCTTTCAAGGTCACAGGAGTCACATATATGTCTAACGCTTAGAACAACTTCTTCTGAAGAACTGGAAAGTATAAAACCTTAAAATTTGGCTGGTTATTTTCTGGGAAAGAGCCAAACAAAGTTTGTGAATGAAAATGACCTTGACTTACTTTCAAGGTTACAGCGTTCAAATATGTCAAACAGTTCAAACTACTTCTGAAGAATTATAATTCATAAAACTATAATATTTGGCTGGTGACTTCCTGGGGAAAATATGTCAAGCAATTTCTGAAGAAGAATCAAAAAGCATAGAATCTTATAATAATATTTTGCTGGTAGTTTCAACAGATGGAGCCAACAAAGTTTGCAAGGGAAATATTTTTAGTGCAATATAATATTTAATGAGAATATTTTGCTATGACTGCTTAAATATTCAGGTGAGCGATACAGGCCCTCTTGGGCCTCTTGTTTATCATAAAATATCTACAACATGTTACAAAAAGCGTTTTTTATTGTAATTGTATGGATAAAAGTTACTTAATACAAGCTAAAAGCAAACAGGACACAGTTTCATACAAAATATACCGCATATGCATGGTATATCAACATGTCAGGTACATATGTAATCATATAGGCTATCTCATGGTATGCCGTTATTACGTGCACGCACATGCACTTGCATTTTATAGGGATCTTGATATTTTACAAACCACTATTTTCACAGTGTTATTGTAATTGCACTTGTGAACCAATATATCTGACAGAGCGTAACTCGCTCGACAACAAAAGTCGTAGCGACCAAGAGCTTGTGAACTACTGTTAGCACATGATACATACAGGTGAGGCTGGTAAACAAAACACATCAGTCTGCATTCAATGCGCCTCATATATGACATTCTTGAAGTCGCCTGATCATATGTCAGTGTATGCCCGTGAGTTAATTAATGTCTTTGTATCATAAGCTTTATTTCTGAAGTACGTGTGATGACACATTTCCAAGTTAAGTCTCGATATCGGGTGTTGACATATCATCGTCACGCACGTGTACTATTGTTTACCCGGTGTTACTATAATTTACACTACGGTAATGGAATGCCCGATACGCAATACGGAAATGACGACACGAAAATACGACAAGAAAAACATGTGTGTTACGAAAGGTGGAAAGTCCTTAAATTTCTGAAAAAAAGTGGGCAAATAACATAGGTTTTTACGGTACTCTTTTATCTCAGAAAAACTTAGGTTTTCCATACTCCCTATTTTTAAATTATAAAATGCATTTTTTCACCAATTCTTTTTTACTGATTTAACACTTGATATGAAAAGTTCTGCTATTAAACTTTTTAGGTCACCTGACCTTTAGCTTAAGTGACCTATGTCTATTCATCTTCTTCCGGCGTTGTGAGTCCTCCATTAACATTTGATATTTTCAACTTAACTGAATTCTGTCGAAGGGGTCGCTTAGAAATCAAATATGGCCACCAATGCCGCCATTTTGAAAAAAAACTATTTCAAACTTAAAGTCAAGTTCTAATGGGCCGATTCAACTGAAACCTTTGAGGAATGAACGACTCATGGTCCTAGCAAAGTGTTGTTATTTTTAGGATCGATCACAAATCCAATAATGGCCGCCATGACTTATAGACCTCGCACTGGTGAAATACATTTTTTTGTATGACAAATAATGTACGATTCTCCTTTGACATCATTATTTCAACAACAACAACATAATAATGTAGGACTCGGGTTACTGTCAAGGCCGATGCGCCTCTTGTTTATTATTCAATGGATCTAAAGAAATTGTGTTTTTCCTTTCTAAAATAGCCACAAAATGGGGGGGGGGGGGACCTTGTGCTTATTTTTTTGCCATATAATCTTTCGTGTTAATTTTCACCTTTTGCAGCCCTTCTTAACCATCGCTTGGAATTTAACTAAATTTTACTGGAAGCATCCCTAGGTGGTGGGGATTAAAAATTGTACAAATGGTAGGGTTAACCCCCCAGGGGGCTGAGGGGCGGGGCCAAAAGGGGACAATTTGGCTATATTGCTATAAACGACTTCTGTAGAACTGTGCAATGGATATCAACTATATTTGACTGAAAGCATCCCTAGGTAGTGGGTATTCAAAATTGTACAAATGGCGGGACTGATAACCCCACAGGGGGCTGAGGGCGGGGCCAAAAGGGGTCAATTTGGCTATATTGTTTTAAGTGACTTCTCCTCTGGAACTAAGAGATATTTTGGATATCAACCATATTTAACTGGAATCATTCCTAGGTATTGGGAATTCAAAACTGTACAAATGGTGGGGCTGACCCCCTAGGGGGCTGAGGGGTGGGGTCAAAAAGGGGCAATTTGGCTAAATTGCTTTAATGACTTCTTCTGTAGAACTATGCTCTGGATGTCAATCATATTTGGTCAGAAGCATTCATGAGAGGTGTGAATTCAAAATTGTACAACTGGTGGGGCTGAGGGTTGGGGCCAAAAGGGGTTAATTTGACTATATTGCTTCAAGCGACTTCTCCTCTGGAACTAAGAGATGGATATCAACCATTTTTTACTGGAAGCATCCCTAACTTAAATGGGGATTCAAAATTGTACAAATGGTTGTGTTGACTCCCAAGGGGGCTGAGGGTTGGGGCCAAAAGGGGGCAATTTGGCTAAAATGCTATAATGACTTCTTCTGTAGAACTATGCGCTGGATATCAATCATATTTGGTCAGAAGCATTCATGAGAGGTGGGTATTCAAAATTGTATAAATGGTGACTTGAGGGGCAGGGCCAAAATGGGTAATTTGGCTAAATTGCTATAAACGACTTCTGTAGAACTATGCCATCAATATCGATCATATTTGGTGGGAAGCATTCATGGGAGGCAGGGATTCAAAATTGTACAAATGGTGAGGATGACCCCCGGACTAAGGAGTGGGGCCAAAAAAGTTTATAACTTGGAAATGGTTGAGATCTCCACCATATAACCATATATCCAATTCCTGAGTATAAAGAGAAGAATGCACATTTGCTTCCAGGATGGCCCTAGGGTCTGGCCCCATCCTTGGGGACATTAGTCCCTGGGCCATAACTTTAAACGGTTGAGATCCCCACCCCAAAACTATATACAAATGCTGGGCATAAAGAGACGAATGTAGTCATAACATCAGAATAGACCCTGGGGTCTGACCGAACCCCTAGGGACCTAGTTTCTTAGTCGTACAGCTTGGAAACAGTTGAGAGCCCCACCCTATAACCGTATATACAATTGCTGAGTATAAAGAGATGAATGCATATATGCTTCCAGGATGGCCTTGGGGACTGCCCCACCCTTGGAGACTTAACCCCTGGTTCAAAATCTAATACAGATTTGCTACAAGGATTGGCCTTGGGTTCTGGCATATTCCCTTGGATCTCATTTGGAGAATACTTTGCCATGATTGCTTAGGTATCCAGGTGAGCGATACAGGTCCTCTGGGCCTCTTGTATATGTTTATATTGTTAAAAAATGTCAGAAGTTGATAACCAATGTTGTTAATTTCAGAATCCAAACTTTCCCGACGAAAACCCTGCATTGCACTGGCCGTAGCTGGAACAGTCTTGGTGATCCTGATACTGATTGGTGTTGGAGTCTATTTTGGAGGTTAGTTTTTGGATAAATAATCATTGATGAGGTGTTCATGCCACCAATGACTTATTCTGTAAATAATAAATTCCACAGATAGAGGCGTATGTATGGCCTGTACAGATTCCCGCTCCGTGTTCCACATAGGTGGAGTGGGCCGGGTCTAAGTGTGCCATGTCCTCTTGATGCTACATGTATTTTCATCTCAAACAATTCTTTTATGCATCTTTAGTCTTGAAAGAGGAGTATGTTGCAGTTATGACACTGCCTTTGAATTGAAGCTGACAGTGCAAGCTAAGAACCACTGAACTACAAGACAGTGCTTTACACATTGGTTGCTTGTTGCAGATGTTCAAAGTGAAAAAGAATGTTCAAGGTCAAACTGATGTATCAGCACTTAAATAATTCTTTGTGTACACATTCTGCAGTGTGCCATGCTTTGTTGGGCAGGGATTCTCTGTCATGCTTTTCTTTCAGAATTAATTAGCACTTGTTAACATACTGCATTCTGTGAAACGTCATCCAACTTCAAGTTCTTTTGTTATGTATTCAAGCTCTCATTGACAACCAACCTTTGCTATCTGTCCTTTAATCTTGACCTCGACCATTTAAGTCCTGAATCTCATCATGCATACATATCTTTCATTCTGTCCACCTATCAGTTACACTTAGAGCTAAAAATATTTCTATCATACAAACTAGCATTACAGCTCACAGTGCAAGTTAAAAACCTTTCAATTTAGATTTTAGAAAATGATATTTTTTTCTGGTTTTGAGATCTTCCCCATTGACTATCTCTTCTTGCTATCAATTTCTAAGGAGGCGTCAACATTTTAGTTTGTCCTTGCTTGGTAACGAGTATGGGTCTCACTGGGTACCCGAATCGGCAACCAATATAAAAAATAATTCTCAGATATTGTGTATCCAAAATAAAAGATATATCAGTGAAAATAATTCAATAAATCCCATATATATCATCAATCTTTCATGTGCATTAGAGCTGCCCCAACACACCAAAACTTTATTATGAACTCGTAGTCTTGGTGGTGTAGACGCTTGACTAGCAAAATGTGTGCAAAGTGCAACACTCCCAGGTGTGTAGTCAACAATGTGATATTTGAACTCTTCTGATGGAAAGAATTGGAATAAAGTATTGTTTTCACACAGGATGTTATTACAACATGTACAAGTTGGATATCTAAAAGGTAGGCATCAGTGTTAGTGGAATGCTTGTTTCTTTCAAGGCTGTTTTTTAGGGGGGGTGGGGGGTGAGGGGAGATGGTGCATTAGATAATTTTAATGGTCATATTTTACTATTATTTCTTCTTTACTTAGATAAATTCTATCTTTGATGTGTTCCATTTCCATTTTATTCAACTGTTCTGATAAAATATGTTGGATAAAAATTGTGAAAGTGTTCTATTTATATAGTATTATCTGATCATAGTGTCACCTTGTGCACAAATGTACATTCTAAAATGTGGGCCCTTCCTTAGATACAACAGCCAGAAGAGATTGTCACTGAGGAAGATCTCAAAACCAGTTTAAAAATCAAACTTTTTTTTTTAAATCTCAATTGAAAACTTTTGAACTTGCACTGTCAGATCTGCATGATATTGATCAACTATATACTGTTAGTGAGACTAATTTATTAATGAGATGGAGATATATAGCTAGTGATGAAATATCTTTAAGTCCATGGAAGTTCCCAGGCTCCAGCCTGCACCACCAATTTGTTCTATGATGGAAATCTTCCTTGCTCCTTTCACTACAGCAAAGTTTGTGTCCTGTCCTTTCATCAACAGTATCACCATTCACAGATTCGTTTTCTCATAATACTAATAGCACCCAACATATCAAGCACTCTGTCTAAATCCATTCCTTCACCTTCCTCTGATGCCATATGTCCATTACGTTATCAAACTTTAATTTCTAATAGTGTATCACTTTTTCCTTCAATATTTCTATCAAATACTTTCATATGTTCTTCAGGTATATTTCATCTGATGTTGTTACTGTTAGTCACCTAGATGATGTATTGTTTTGTGGCTATTATTATTATTATATACTGGTATTTAAGAGGTTCCGCCAGTCTTGTTCCATCTGCTGATATCCAACTATCACCAATAGGAACAGTCGTTTGCATCAGGTGTACATTATGTACATTTATATACAGGTACCAATATGCCACATTACAACCTTCACATCCTGTAATGATTTATTTATTATGAATTTCTGCCGACTCATTTGGTCATTGGAACTTAGTAGATTGATCAGTCCTCGATTGTCATTATCTATTTGAGAAATTGATCGGAATTTTGACTTGTTCTAAACAGGTTATGGTGTACTCCGACAGGTAATGAATCTGTTATACAAATAGACATTGTCATATATCATGACCTATTACTTTATATGTCAGAGACTTGATCATCTCATCTATCAAACTAAGATAATTATCATTCAGGATAGAAAAATTCTATACAGTGTATTATTGATCCCTAACATAGATGGCAGCCTGGCAGGTCAATAATTGATTTAAATTATTAAAGAACGAAAAAATTATTCTAGAGAAAGTATATAGCTAAAGTGCATCTGAACAATGTTGTATTAAGGTTTATTATTACAATTTGCACAATACTGCCTTATTCACTTAAATTAATTTAAAGTTTTTGAGATTGAGAAAGAAATATTGTTCCAATTTTCATAATCCTTACATAATTAGGTCACTTGAGCCTAAGGCTTATCTTTGGCTGTTGTTTCTGTCCATCAATTTTCGTTTACGATCAACGTATGCTTACAATCAACATTTTTGACATCCAAAGAATCATAAGACCTATATGTTATTTTATTTGACTAGTAGGAAGCTTCATGAAGACAGGGCTATCAAAGTTGGTTCAAATAAATGATCTTGACCAATCGGTTGTTTAACAAAGTAAATTCAAATTAGAGGGAGACATATTGTTTTAGTAAAGATTTTTCTAGTTCTTTTCCACAGATGATTGCAAGGAAGATAGATAAGGGCGTTTAAGACCTCTTGGTAAAACTTAATGGATTCTACATCACTAACAGAAAGTGTGCTGTGCATTGTATTTCTGTCATTGTAATCTTCACTTAAATAATCATAATAATTGGAGGTTCTTGAATACCGCTAATTATCAAAACTTAGTTTGAAGGTTGATCGTCTCAAAGCGGTTCACAAATTATTATCTGTGGTAATAGGGCCTTTGCAACTGGCCAATATCTTTCTCAAATCCCTGGGGAGCATACAGCTGAAGCTGCCATTTCGGCACTCACAGTTAGCATTCAACAATTCGAGCACTGCCCAACCACATACTCATTTACAGCTGAGTAGACTGGAACCAGAGGAGTAAAGTATCTTGCTTAAGAATGCAACACAGTGATGTGACGTGACTCAAACCTGCAACCCTTCGGTCACAAGCTTGGCACGCGCCCTACCACTAGAATACCTTGCCCCACTACTAGGTGGATTCAGTGTATTGATTTGGTATTGTGTCCATCAGTCTGTTTAGTATATGTTCTGCCTGAAAATGGTCTGATTTCAAACAAATTTGTCATATGAATACATATATGATGGCAAGGCTCTGAGGCAGTTCAATAATTGCCCTAAAAATAGTTTGACTTCACCTAATTTGGTTTACAGTAGTACATAATGGCAATTGTCAAGCTGAGTTTTGGTTGTCAATATGATGCAGATATATTTACTTCTAATTAGTGAGACCATGCCATTCTGTTGGGATTAACTAGTTCATGCAGTAACTGCATGCTGTTACAATTAATATGGTTTGATTGTATAACCAAAAGTAGTATGATCAATATTCTAGTTAGTCCGAATTATTCTGACGTTTTATTGACTTTTTTTTTTTATATCTGTCTGTTGTCGATTCTAGTGTACACAACCTGTAAATTTAAGTCCTTCATTAAAGATCTTGTACCGCTGCCAACATTGGTCACCATGCATTGAAACTGGTTTTTCCTGACATTTTCTGAAAAGAAAACTATAAATACTTTGCAGGATTTAATGAAAAAAAAAGATAAACAAAATGTAATCAACAACGGTGCATGTTCTGAGGGTAAAATTTCTGCATGGCTATAGACCAAGATTCGAACCCTGGACCTCAGATTGTTTTACAGTCACTCTATTCAGCTGAGCTACCTGGTCAACAGAAGTGCTCTCGCCCAATACAATTACCTCTCAGTTATAGCAAAAATTAAATTAAGGGGAAATAACTGGATAAACGATATATACAAAAAACCATAAAGGAACTAACTCATTCACCCCTGATGACACTTTTGAACTCTTCCAATTCAAAGCTTGGAAAAGTTCATATAAAATTTCATGGGTGAATGTTTTGATTCCTGTGATAAAGGGATCTTTAAGTACATTTGTATGTCAACACCAAACTTTAACAAAAGACTGTAATATTGTCCTTAAATAAAACCACGGATATAAATTCTACACTTGCTTGTTTTTTCCAGCGGTGGCTGGCAGTGGGAGTAGCTCGGATTCATCATCGTCTGCTTCCGTAGGTGAGTAAAAAGTTATTTACCTGAGCATTTTTAGTAAATTATTAATTATCATGTACTGGACTTTAACTATGGGAAGCAGCTTGTTTATTTTATTAAATAATCACTGATTTTATGTTTTTATTGCAACGAACATATAGTAAATCTCTTGTCATATCAAACAAAATTATATTGATATCGTCGATCCTGTATGAATAACACAAAACTAAGGCCGCTTCAGTAAAAAGTAGTTCGAACAATCAGATTTGACAGTGGCAAAAAATCCTGACAAATAGTCAAGTCATTGATACGGTACGTAATGATGGCCTGTTATGATATGTTTGCAAATCTGGTGATGTTAACAAGAAGGAAGCTCAATCATCACCTACATATGGCATATTTATTTACAAATTGGCCATCAGGGATAACTACTATTGTCGCACATCGTGAGTACTTAATCTGTTGCTCAGTTATCAAATGCTATTTTTGTGAGACTGTTATTGCATCACCAAGAGCCAAAATGGATCAATAATTACGAAATTTCAGTACTCAAATTTATTATTTGAACAGTTCGAAATGACTGGAGGTTTACTGTACTTCAAATAAAAAATTGTATGTGAAATGTGTTCATTGATGAATATAACTTTATGCAAAAAAAGACAAAATAAATTAAATTTGACCCCTGGTTGATTGTAATTTATATATATAAGGACTAAGCTGATGACAGGTATTAATTTGAATCCTTTGTAAAACACAAAAGCGGTGCAAATGTCATATATTAGAAATTACATTGCATATCAGTTAACTTATTATATGACCAAATCAAACCATAAATTGGAATTGGACTGGCAGTCAAAAACAAATTGGCAGAATTTGTTACTTTCCACATCAGCTTGACACCTTGTATTTTATATTGTATTCACTAATGCTGTCATTTCAGAGTTCAATGCTGAACTGAGAATGACTGGAGTAACTTGGGATCCAGATCTTGCAAACCCAAATAGTGCAGCATATACCACCTTGGAGGGTCAAGTCCTTTCTGATGTACGAAACAAAAACAGACGTATAAAGAAATCTTCAAAAGTTTGACGAATGTCAACAAGCTGCAAATAATTCATATTTAGCATGGCACTCGTAAATGAGATTATTTTTTGAAGTAGGATTGAGATCATAGTACAACACACAAATATCAAGATCTTTTACTCTCAAACAACACTGCTGATTTTGTTAACTGGCCTATTGGGGGTGTGGAGATCGGGGGCTCAATTAGCTGTTGAATATTACAAGGTTGATGCATTGATATAAAGTGTAAGCAATGTAATGAACCAAACTTTCATATTTTCTAAGGGCCAAAAAAGGTTACTTTAAAGTCAACTTGGTGTGGAATATTTTATGATGTCATGCAACTTTCAAAGATTTTGGTCACTGTTAATCTCTAAGTTCTTTAATTGTAATAACATATTGTAATGTTTGAATATACATAAAAAAATAACAATTCTGTCTTTTCGTATTGCAGAGTTATCTTCTCTTGTGAGCAGATATAGATTGTTACGTCATTGGTTTGTGAGATTAACGTCATCAATTTTTGAGAAAACGACGAAATTTTCTCACACAAACTAATGACGTAACAAGCAATACCTGCTCACAAGAGAAGATAACTTTGCAATACGCAAAGACGGAATACCAATTTAGCAACCTAAAACATGTAAGATACAGGTGCTTCTGTTGATATTAACTAACTTATATTATATCTTATGAAGAGACGAGCTATTCTGTTTTCTAACAGCTTATATTTTCTCATGGCTGTATTTTCCAGAAATAATGCTGAAGTATGAAAAATTTGTGTGAAATGCTAATATGGAATTGTCTTCCGCCATTTTGAAAATTGAAATATGTTTTATGTTCTATGTATACATTAACCTATATGCTGTATTGCATTCGGAAATAACAAAACTTGAAACTTGAAATTTCCCTTTTGGAGCCTAACTGCATTTCGTGTATATCAGACGCGATGAAATCGACTTGGGCAAGACTAGTTTTACACTTGATTTTTATGTGCGAGTTAAAGAGTTTACCTTGGTTTAGTGTATTCGAATGTTCTGTGATTTGATCTTCTGGTTGAAACTAAAAGGTTATATCAACTCAGAGGTTTTGATTCCATTCATTGACTTGTATGAGTTTCACTGATGAAAGACAAGTTATGATTATAATTGTTTTCTTTAATTTTCAGCTGAACACCATATTTGGAGCAAGCAGTTTAAGTGGGTCGTACCAAAGTGCTACTGTGAATGGTTTCAGGTAAAGACTGATTACAGTTATGAAAGCCCCCATCTCATCAACTTATACCCTCTAAATCGCCCAGATACTGGGTGTACATATATCTCTTCTAATGATACTGGGTGCACTTATATATCTCTGCTTATGATACTGAGTGCACTTATATCTCTGCTTATGATACTGAGTGCACTTATATCTCTTCTAATGATACTGGGTGCACAAATATCTCTTCTAATGATACTGGCTGCACTTATATCTCTTATAATGATACTGAGTGCACTTACATCTCTTCTAATGATACTGGGTGCACTTATATCTCTTCTAATGATACTGAGTGCACTTACATCTCTTATAATGATACTGAGTGCACTCACATCTCTTATAATGATACTGAGTGCATTTATATCTCTTATAATGATACTGGGTGCATTTATATCTCTTATAATGATACTGAGTGCACATAAATCTCTTATAATGATACTGAGTGCACATAATTCTCTTATAATGATACTGAGTGCACATAATTCTCTTTTAATGATACTGAGTGCACATAATTCTCTTCTAATGATACTGAGTGCACATATATCTCTTCTAATGATACTGAGTGCACACATAAATCTCTTTTAATGATACTGAGTGCACATATATCTCCTCTAATGATACTGAGTGCATATATATCTCTTCTAATGTATTTTTTTTCTGAAGCATAACTTTACCAAGGTGACAGATGCAAACTTGTATAAATGAAAGGTGATGGGAACTAAGATGTTAATCAGGTGATTTAAAGGCCACCCTTTTTTACTGGTGAGGGGATTTTATCAATGTTGGATTGGAAACATCACTGGGCCAAGGGGCCTCATTGTTGTTTTAAATTCCCTCTCATCCCATTCAGGACCAAAAAGGGGTAACAGAGGTAATCCTTTCAAATATTAAAATACTATTACTGTAACAGTAAATATGAAGGCATTTTACCAAATGTGGTCTAAAGTACGAGTCACTACCGGGTCAAGGGGATTCAACACTCGCAATTGTATAAAGGAATGGGTGGCCTCCCTGAGGGCACAGTATCAGGGTCCAATAGGTACGGTAGAAGAATAAAAGACTACTCCTTCAGTTTGAGTGAAGTTATTTTGAGCAAATTTGATCTAAAGCATCACTGGGCTAGGGGAACAAACATTGAATGAATGATATCGTTCCTCTCGTTCATTCAACGTATATTTTATTGACACTGAATGGTATTGGGCACAAGTTCTTACAACTTACTAGGCCCTCTCCTATGTGGTTCCCCTTACGGAGATTAAATGTTTATTTTCAGACTGACTTAAAGATGGTCAGGTGCTGTCCGATTGGCCGAGACATTTTCAACTTCCACTAGGCCATTATAGTAACCAAAGTTGATCTGTAGGAATGATTTGAAAATGATAACCATCCTGTCTACTGTTCAGCATATTTTGACTTATTCTATTTTTTTTCTAGTTCTAACCAAATATTGTACAAATGCTCCTCTGGTTGCCCTTACCAATCACAAGTGTTAATCTATAGTTATAGGAGGCATAACTAATCACTGCTTAGATAATGAAAGAAACAAAGGAGTGAAACAGGTCCACTGGCCTCATGCTTTTTACGATATAGGAGTGAACTTGCCATTCTATGTACAACTTCTTATACTTACAGTGCTGGTAGTGTGATTTGCACTACAACGCTGAAATTTACCTCGGGAAGTTCAGGAACCTCAGGAAGCACTGTTACAGCAGATGATATCAAAACAAGCCTTACCAACAACAAAAATGTAACTACTGGACCCGTTTCTAGTACTGACACAGCACAACTTGTGGTAACGGCAGGTGAGTGTTGGTTACCTGTCTTATTATGCCCTTGAGATGAATAGGAAAGGGGACATATATCTTTATATGTTTTTTCAGTATAACGTCATATTGTACATCCATCCACCTGTCTAAGTTGCATCAATCTACTAGCAGCTTCACTTTTCATTTTGTTATGGCAAAAATATAAACAAGTATTGATATTAAATTACTTTAAAATTAAACAAGCTTGAATTTTCATAAATAAGAATCCCAGGTCATATTTTCTGTCACTTAAATACAAAGTGTTTGTCATACTGTATCACTGGTTTTATTTTATTTTTTAGCTCATTCAGAGTTTGTTGGACTGTGCATCATTGTCCTTTGTCTCTGCCATCAACTTTTGTTCAAAAGCCTACTTCTCCCAAATAGCTGTACACATTTTCACCAAATTAAGGGTGAATGAGCAAGTCCAGCATTTTTGAAATAGATGAAGTTGTTGCCAAATTATAGAAATTGGTTGTATTACATTAAAACCATTTTTTTTCTTAAACACCTTCATACATTGTCATCTTATGGTGTGAAAAGTCACAGATACAAGGCAACCATTTCTCATATACATGTATTAGTTAATGATCCACTAGCAGGCATGAATGTTAAAAGCTCTATTAAATCACTTTAAAAAAGTCAAATTCACCAATTTTTATAATTTTACAGGAATATATAGATTATAAGTTTACAGTTATTGGTGAATTTATATGATAATAGTCCGAATTATTTTTGGTATTTGTGTGTTTGTATTGTCAGTGCAAACAATTTACCTATAAAAGTGTAATCTCACCTAAATGGTTTCTTTTAAAATTGATCCTAAGGTTTGTGAGGTAAGCAGAGAAGAATCTTAAAAGAAAAACATCTTAACTACTGCATTCATTTAAACAATAACTGGTTGTCTGGATGTAATTATTGTAATTATTTCCAGACAACCAGGTATTTTTTATATTTACATATTTTTCTTTTTTAAGACATATTCCTACAAAAACCATTTGCCATGCCTCAAAATACATTTCAGGCGGCCATTTTGTTTGTTTACATATTCCTACACCTGAAACAGGCAGTTGTAATTATAGTCGAGCAGTTGTTATTATAGCCTATATAATTACACTTGCCCTCTAACACTTTTGTAATGGGACGGCGCGAGGGCAAATGTAAATATAGTTTAATGAAAGTAAGGTTTTACTGATAATGCTCAAATGGTATGTTGTAGTACAAACATGTAAATATCAAATATTAAACATTGCAATGAATTTTTAGGTCACCTGAGACAAAGTCTCAAGTGACCTATTGCGATGGCCTTTTGTCCAGCGTCGTCCAGCATCCGTCGTGCATTCGTAAACAATTTACATTTTTGACTTCTTCTCCAAAACCACTGAACCAATTTCAATGAAATTTTGCAGGAACCTTCCGTGGACAAAGGTCAACAAAAAGTCCCCAGGGGCCTGAGGGGCGGGGCCAAAAAGAGTCAAATTGACTAAAATTTCAAAAATCTCCTTCTCAAGACCCAGATATGGTAGAATCAAATACTCTTCAAAGATGGAAGGGTCTTAAGGTGCTTTACCAAAATTGTGAATTTCTTGACCCTGGGGTCTCACGTTTTCCCCTAGGGAGATGTAAACTTTACTATAGTTTATATAGGGAAATCACATTTTGGACCAACATTTGTTTAATTTCCATTGGAAGTAATTCAATTTGGGTTAGCATTATCAGTATTAGGTAGCAGTTTGATAGTATGCACATATGAGCCCTGACTGACCCCCAGGGGCTGATGGGTGGGGCAAAAAAAGGTTGAATTGACTGAAATTTCAAAATCTTCTTTTCAAGACACAGATATGGTAGAATCAAATACTCTTTATAGATGGAAGGGTCTTAAGGTGCTTAACAAAAATGTGAAATTTCTTGACCCTGGGGTCTCGTGTTTTCCCCTGGGGAGGGGGTTAACTTTACTATAATTTATATAGGGAAATCACATTTTGGACCAACATTTGTTTAATTTCCATTGGAAGTAATTCAATTTGGGTTAGCATTATCAGTATTAGGTAGTAGTTTGATAGTATGCACATATGGCCCTGACTGACCCCCAGGGCTGATGGGTGGGGCTAAAAAGGGTTGAATTGACTGAAATTTCGAAAATCTTCTCAAAGACCCAGATATGGTAAAATCAAACACTCTTCATAGATGGAAGGCGCAACATTTAGTATGGTTTATAATGGCAAATGATGATACTTTGAATAATACATGTTAATAACTTGATTGGAATCATAACCTTGAATTGACAGTTTGATACTTTGAAAATTTTGCGCCAGCCCTACCCCCAAAAGCTGTAGGGTGGGGCTCAAAGGAGTCAGTGTGCTAAAATTTCTTCATTTTCCTTGTTTAGAATCAGAGGTGCTGGTTTCAAATACTTTTTAGTCTTAAATCTGTATGCTAGATATTTAATAAGGTGGTTATATTGTTTTTAGTCACTTTGAATAATATTTCTGTGCATGTTAAAAACAAAATCAACTCTCTGTATAAATATATAAGGTGACTGTTAAGGCCCATGGGACTCTTGTTATTTTAAATGACATAACTTTAAGAGGTCCATAGCTATGATAACACCATTGTTCAATTTGATTTAACTTTCTCTCACACTTGCAGTGGCAGCCACAACCACAACAGAAACCCCAACAACTGCCCCTGCAACAACCACTGGAGCACAAGCAACAACCACTGTAGCCTCTGCAACAACCACTGGAGCGCAAGCAACAACCACTGGAGCACAAGCAACAACCAATGGAGCACAAGCAACAACCACTGGAGCGCAAGCAACAACCACTGGAGCGCAAGCAACAATCACTGCAGCCCCTGTAACAACCACTGGAGCACAAGCAATAACCACTGCAGCCCCTGTAACAACCACAATTGGTTCAATGCCTCCCACAACTGCTACCATGACTACTACGACTGGTTCAATGCCTCCCACAACTGCTACCATGACTACCACAACTGGTTCAATGCCTCCCACAACTGCTACCATGACTACCACGACTGGTTCAATGCCTCCCACAACTGGTACCATGACTACCACAACTGGTTCAATGCCTCCCACAACTGCTACCATGACTACCACGACTGGTTCAATGCCTCCCACATCTGCTACCATGACTACCACGACTGGTTCAATGCCTCCCACTAGTAGTACCATGCCACCTACAAATGGTACCATGCCTCCTCCAACCAATTACACCATCCCACCTACAAATGGTACCATGCCTACAACGACCCAAGAGATTGAGTTTGTCAACGAAACTGTTCCTTTACCAGGTGAGTCATAGAAAGTATCTACAATGTTTCTGAATGTGGTTATATTCTGGCCTGGGGATCCAGATGTTTCTGAATGTGGTTATATTCTGGCCTAGGGATCCAGATGTTTCTGCGTTCATTTCAACAATAACCCAATGTAAGGTTATGTATTCTTTTAAGACGGGACAACTGAGGGGAGATTTCAAAAATTGCTAGGCAGATGGCTTCATCCCTGGTGTTTTGTATTTCTAAGTTAAACCTGAATTCTTTTAATTTTAGTAGTCGTTTGGAAAGTTATATATAAAGTGGTCCTTCAAATTTGATCAGACTCACCTTCTTTTTGTATAATTCTCGTCGAAAGACCGGATGTATTATGTTATCACGTGAGCGGGTGTGTGGAGTGGGCAGGCGGGCGGGCGGGCGG